TTACTATAATTCGTTTCATCTAAACTCACAATATATATTTTAAATAATATACATGGTGCTTATTATTTAATTCCTATTTATACTCACAAGCGATAATATTTTTATTTACTTAATTAATACTTTATTTTAATACTTAAAGGTACTTTGTGTATGTACTTAATTTTAATTGCGTTGTATCAGAGGTGTAATTTATGTTCACTTAAATATTATTTAATCTAATTAATAAAAAAAAAATAATAACCTAAATCTAGGGTTATACTGTAGTCCATACTTTATTAAAAATTTTGAATAATAGACCTAACGGGAGACTTTTCTACTACATTTTTCAACTTTCTCTCTACAAGAAAATTGAATTCACTATAAATATTTCTACAGAGCTAAAGCTCCTATAGCTCACATTCAAACTATGCTAATGAATTTACTAAGTATTTCCTAACTATTTGGTGTGTGAATTTAAGTTTTATTTCGTAAAATAATTTTATGAGAATAGATACAAAATAATGTACTTTATTATATAAAGTGTAATGTATAACTAAGTCATAGGTTTTTATAATAAAGCATTTGTTTTTTAATTGTTTTCAATAATATTTAAAAAAGCGATTATGAATTAGAATGCTGAAAATATTTAATTATCAGATATAACCATATTCAAAATTTAAAAAAAAAACTAAAAATGATTTAAGCAAATAAAATAAATTTACACAAGCTTACAGATTTATTCGATCAAATATTATGATCGTGGTTTAGTCTAACTGGTCTAAATTAATTAAGTTTATTAATAAATTTAATTTTCTATATACAGGTGTTCAGAAAGTAAGGACACAAGTCAATTGTTATAAATAATGAAAACAATAGAAAACCGTTTTCTTACCTTCTGAACACTATATATTTTTCAATAGGAATTTATACATTTTAATTTAATATTTTGTTTTATTACATAAAAATCATCATATCATAGCTATGTTTGTGGCATAAATAATTATATGTATATACATTTAAAAGTTTTATAGTGATTTTTTATGATTTCTTGGTTCTGTTGACTAATGTTTTATCACCTTAAATTGTTATTTCTATCACTTTATAACACTTAATAAAATAAGTCTTTTAGTTCCATGTGTAATCATAAATTAATTACATGTTTTTTTTCAGCTTACGTTAAAGAAATAATTTATTTTAATTTTAAATAATCCAAACACGAACAAATAACAATAATTACGTTACGGTTAACTATACAACAAGTACTTATATTAGTCATTGTAATATCACAATATCATTAAGGGGAGGGCTTTGTTTATCAAGACCCCTGGTTTATTACTGGGTGATCTTAATAGCATGACTAGACATCAAATAAGCACCCTGACTGGTCTACTGTCAGGACATGGTCATCTGCTTAAACATCTTAACGCAATGGGGGTATCGGAATCACCATTGTGCAGGAAGTGTGGAGTAGAAGAGGAAGACTCATTTCACATCATGTGCGAATGTGAAGCCTTGTCCACACTAAGATCAAACTACTTGAATAAACTATTTCCTGAAAAAGAGGATATTAAAAACCTAAAACCCAGAGAGATACTTAATTTCGCCAGAAAAACAGGACTCTTTGGTCATCTTTAGAGGTGACTTTATGGTTGGTAATGTATTAACACTTTGATGATAACACTTAGGTGGGTAAACCGAATCAAGACAATTCGGTATGAGGTGCGCACAATGGACCAACAGGTCTGAGTGCATGGGCATTATGTCCACCTCAATAATAACTAAAAACTAAAACTAAGGGGAGGGCTTGCGCCTTTTCTAGTCTTCATAATTACTCCCTGGCAGAGATTCGAATTTTTAAACCACCGGTTCAAAACCATTTCTGTCGAAGAAAATAAAGAATCAAAAACATACTATCAAAGAAATCTTACCAAAAAAAATGATTCTTTTAAAGGTTCTTAAAGTCACTAATAAACTATGTAACTATGTAATTGTATGACAATTAAATAGAAAGTTATTTTTGGTAATAAGTCTATTAAAATATTTTTACAATCACATTTATTACTTTTATTAATATATCATAGAAATGTAAAGATAAAATGTGAAAGTTTATTCATTTTTGACAAGTTGACATTTCTAAGACTACTCCTTTGAAACGCCCAGTTTCAAAGAATAATGTAAAATGTAATGCTTATATTATTACCTATGATACCTAATTTTGAAAAAAAAAAAGATAACTATATTTTTTTTTAGAATGAACCATTTCTAAGTCGGTTCTTAACAGGAACGCTAAAAATAAAAGTTTAAGAAACCTTAATAAAACCTAAAAATTTTAATTTTTTTATCTTAGATACTCTTTTAAAATCGATCTTAAAAATCTTAGAGATTACCACCTCTGCCCTGATACCTTTTCTCTAAACCTTCTTATATTCAGCCCTACTTGTGCAGTAAAATCCTTATTTTGTACATATTAATGTAGGAATATATGCTCGATTTTTCTTATTAATTAATTTGACAACACCATTGTAATATTTTGTATAAAAAAAAATTTCAAACAATATTAGAATTATAAGTCAGATATTATTTAAACATTTTACAACTAATTATACTTAGTTGTTAATGTTTGTACAGCCTTATCTCCGGTTGAAGGACAAAAATAAATAAGGATCATAGAATTCAATGAATAAAATATCTTACTTCCTATTTAATACAAAAAAAAATAAATTACTCAAAAAGTTAGTTATGTAAAAAATGTTGGAATATTCTGTGAAACAGTTTTTGGTCACTTAAAAAGGAACTATAAATTTTGTTTATTTATTACAACGTCTACTAGTGTGGAACTGATAAACCATATTTAGTCAGCTAACACTCGTCGATAATAAATAAAAAACATATTTTCCAAAGAATATTTATTACTTTGCTACAACAGGGCGTGTTGAAAGATTAATTGTGGTAGGAGTTACATTTATGAAAAAAATATATTATATTGTTTCGAAAAGTATTATTGTATAAAATAGGAAAAAATGAATATTTTTTTTTTATTTTTAATTCTTCTTAGTAATGTTATAAATTTCTAAATAAATTATTAGTAATTTAAGTTGTATAAATATACTAATATTACTAAAACTATCTTTATTTTTAAGTTAATTCATATATTTTAACCCTTTCAGTACAAATTTGAAATGAATTAAAAACTTTTGAATTATTTAATTTTAAGCATTTACAAATCATCAAACTATCAATATTTTTGTTTGCCGCTAATATTTACCATATATAAGAGTTTTTAAATGTATTTTTATTCGTTCCAATCAGATTTATTTAGATTAACTATTACATAAGAAATGTATTCAAAAATCTAACTTTTTATATTAGTACATATATTTAATTATAGGATATTTTCTTTATACTAATCAACACATAACTATAGTTTAGACCATATATATAGAAATCTATGTATGCATAAAACATAAAATTTAGTTACTTTTTAAAGATTGTAAATTATTAAAATTTTAAAATTAAAAGAAAAAAGAAATAAATTATATTCATAAAGTATTGCCATAACATAGTAATCACGAAGAGACGATATAATAAATGCGATATTTCTACAAGTAAAGCCCGTTTAAATATTTTTTTAGTATATTTTAAAAAATACACCGTGTAAGAGGGAAGTGATCCATCTATCGCCCCCCCTAATAACTGCCACTGAATTCTACAAATAAAACCAATGGCGTATCTCAAAAAGGAGGCAAGTTAGTATCGGTATACTATGCTAGTATAAAAATATTGAAGTTTATTTTCACATGAGTAGATAATAGTCACCATAAATGTTTGTGGTAGCTTGTCCGCTAATTTTTTTTTTTATGCCCACATTTGAAATTTCTTCACACATCTCTGAATAGGACAGATGACATGTGGTCATTTCCGGACTTACGTACATTTTACGTTTGTCGAAAATAAACGGTCTTTAGGGAATCTAGGGTGTGTGGGTGGCCAAAGAAGGTGTAGAAACATTACAGCGAGGTGTCGTTTGATATACATATTATTCTACACATATGTATACATTGTACATGCATTTCCTTAAACACGCACGTGTGTTATAGTAAATTGTATATTTATACAAAAATAAATAATAATTAATATCATTTCTTCGAACAACGTCGCAGTATTTATTTAAGAAACATGATGAATATAGCATACACATAGTCAAATGGTTCCATGAGAACGAAAGACATTGACGTTTTTCTAACACCTATTAGGAGGGTAAGTTTTATGTTTTTGACAAATTGCTTTGCTCCAAGGGCGGTCCAATCGTCATACGCACACTGATTTCTACTCAATATTAATTTTGTTAAACCCCTAAATGCTGATCTGTAAAAACGATGACCATAATTCGTAAAACTACTACTTTTTCTAAATAATAAATCAAATCACTTAAGATACGACATAAGTTATAAATAACCTAAAATACAATTGTATATCATAAGTTTTTTATGAACACTCAATATCGACTATATTTCGAAGCTATTAAAAGTACTGACGGAAAGTTTATAAAAAAAATTTAAATATTCATTTTTTGGATAGCTTAAAAAAAAATTGCTTGCGTCGCTTGGTCAATAAATACACTTTATTTATTTAAAAAGAAAAAGAAGTCCTCAAATATTGAAAAAAAAAATTAAGTTTGATAAGAAATTATAATGGAGTTTAGCCCTCAAATTTCGCTGATAAGCTATTGGTTTTCCTTAGCCGTTTATTTTGTGTCCGAACGTCATTACTCCCATTCTTACTGGACGAATTTTACTCAACGACACGTCAAAAGATCACAAAACGTATCTAGTTGAAACTATCAGCACCATAATGTTTTAATTGTACCTATTTAATACACAAGTTAAATACTTAAATTTTGCAAATTTCGCAAGCATTCTTCGAAAATTATAGGCACTACTCCTGAAGACCGTCTGTAAATTAGACACTTAATGACTAATCAAATTTTCGTAAAATTTAATCCTAGAATTAAAAAGAAAAACTTAAGCTTCATTGTATATTTTTAAATACATTAAATATGATATTTGAAACAAAATTTATAATTGAGTAAAATATATATGTAAAAGTTATGTCCATATTTTAATGAAAGGAACAAATTAGTATACAAAGTATAAATTACAATACACTGTAAATATTTTCAATAGTTTTATTAACCTATTTCAGTCCCAAAATATAGTTTATAAATTGTATTATACTCATAATAATTGGTCCCCAAGCTACAAACCATCGTAACCAATCTAATAGTTGACCATACAAAACATGTGGTTTTTCCCATCTAACAAATTTAGTTAAGAAAATGCAATGTATCGTTGTATAAAATTATAATTATATTTTACAATTTTAAAACTACGAATCCTTGTTTGTAGTTTTTTACTAATGTAATTTCAACTTTTATTTATTATTATTAATTAAAGGCGATTTTAGCAGAGAGGTACTTCAACACTTAGATTATATCAATGAATAATCACAAGTAAAAAATAAGTTAATCAAATCAAAAAATCGATTAGGTTGCTACACAAAGTTTTGTAATGCGAAATGTACTAGTACATTTTATCATAAAAGTGTACCTAATTATTAAACACTTTTATCTGAAAAATTCTAAATCGTCTCTGTTATTGATAATAATATATAATAAATTTAAATTAAAAGTACTTAAACCTGCATTTAACTAAATCATTTTTTACAACTTAATCTTCTAAATTTACATAGAAAAATAAGAAAATTTTTAAAGTACCTATAACTCAAAAATATAAAACTCTATTCTTATCGCTAACAATGTAAAATAATTATTAAAATATTTTACTCAAAATTTGTTTAAAAATGTTATGTTTTGATTTTTGATTCTAGAAAACTCGATTCAATTCATATATGACAAAGCTATTATTAGTGCTGATGATATGTTTCAACAAACTTTTTTAATTATTTTTAAAGTAAAATATAGCTTTATAAAAATAGAAATTAACCAATTTAAATATCATCAAAGGTAATTAAATGAGTTATTAAAAACTTATTGCTAGTTATTAAATGTATATAAAGGATACGGATTACGGAACATATGTTTGAGATCAACTTTTTCTTTACAATATGGACAAGTTTGCTTTTTTCCAACAATACACCAACCTCTTATGCAAAATTCATGAAATCTAGAATATTTAATATGTTATAAATATATATATACAGAGTAATCTGTTTATTACGAACCACATAAATCACTCATAAAATAAATACATTATTGAAAAAATTATTTCATTTATTTATTTTGGTTTGACAAACCAATTACATATGTAATATCAGATTTGCAATGTTAAGTAATATATAGTATAGGAACACATATAAAGTAAAAGATAAATAAATCAACAATAACTAAAACTTACAATTTTAAGTATAATAAAAAATAAGCACAAAGCAAAACAGTAATAAATTGTCATCTGTGGTCACATTTAAATAGATGATTTAATTCAGCTATTAAATACTTTTAAGCATCATCCTTTGTAATTATTTTTTTTTATGTAGCACTATACATAATATGTATGGGCCACTTAAAATTTTTTTAAGAAAATGATAACAACTTTTGGACAAGTACTTCGTAAGTTATTGATATATTTATATCTAGATGAGAGGAAGAATAATATTAGTATTATTGGTAATATTTAGTTAAAAAAAACCAGCACCCATTTTTCATTTCCAGTCATTACATTAAAATGATAATAAAAAATCAAAATACGGGTCCAAAAGTTGTAATTGTACTTAAATAGGAAAAATACTAGAAATGAACCATTTAATTTTAAGTAAATCAAACTAAAAAAAATATTTATTTTGACATCTCTATGTCATCAAATATCATCACTAATGACAACTTTGTACTATTACTTCTAAATTAAATGACATTTTTAAAATATAATAGATTGAGGGAGAGGCACAGGTTTGACAATTTATATCATTAGACATTTCTCGACTGTACTTCTTCTCCAAACCATGTATAAAAATGTTAATAACTTCAAAAGTACTAGTAGAAAAGTTATTAACAACCAGTCAGTCCTTTATTAGATAATTTCCTATTTTATAAGCAAATTAAATATGTATGTATGCCACTTAAAAAAAAATTAGTTACAAGAGATGAAAAACTATTTTAATTCATTTTTTAATATTGAATTTATTTTGTGAGTAATTAAATGATTTATGATAAACAGACACCATATATAACATATTTTACAATGATAATACTACAAACAAAATAAAACACTATACCACAAAACATCTAATGGTAACATGTGATGTAATGTCAATGAACACTTCAGATACTATTAAGCTGTGAAGTTATGTCATCATAATTGTCTAATTAGTTTTAACTAACCTAATGATTCAGAAAAAAAAATTCTAACTATATAAATAAATTTACGTGTGATCACAGGTCAATTGGAAGGTAGATTCAATTATGCCTTCTTCTCCAGCATTCAATAAGAGTTTATTTCCACATACAGCACAAATATTTTTATCTAAACTTCTGGTGGGCATCCCTTGTGGTGTGTAATACTAATTGAAAAAAAAACAATAAATGATAATAGTAGTAATGTTCGAACCAGTTTAAGAAAAATTCAAGATAGCCATTTTGGTAGAGTAGATTTCAAACAAAATTTTTTGTTAATATTTTTTGGATAAATTTCTAGAGCATTTTAAAATTTGTGAAAATTTGATTTTTATGTTTATTACATAATTTAAAACGCTAGTATTTGCTAAGAAAGGATAGAAAAGAATGCAATCTTTTGCAATCTACTTATTATTGGTTACACACACATTTTTTTTCATGAAATTTTTCATTGCTTGAATGAGTTGTAATGAAAAACTCTTATAATGATATTATATTTTATAGAATTTTTCACGACATGCAAAAATCACTCCGTATATATTTCTTTAAATTATTTTTTGTACTGCTAAATACCATACTATTAAATAAAATATTTTTAATTTAATTAAATTTTATATTGAATTTGAATAAGATTTATTTATTTATTTAATTTAATTGACCTTTATAAACTAAATTCTGGTGAATGTTTAAACTTTTTTACATAAAAAAAATATTACTTGAGTTACTTACTCCTAAATGAGCAGCCATGGCAGATGCACAAATTTCAGCAACATCTTGCCCTAATACTCCAAAATATAGTCCATAATACATAATGATTAAACCAAAATCCATCCAAACAGCAGGATTTACATTGAAAATGACACTGAGACCAAAAAATGCTGCTACCATAATGAAATAACCGATGATGCCCACCACATATGTTAATTTGTAGATAAAATAGAACCATTTATACACCAATCTGGATAACATTTATGCCATCACACTATACATAACATGGTGCAATATTTTCATAAAGTGCAAGCCATAGAACTATTAATGTCAGGCTGCCTTAACTCACCTTGGAGTTGATCCTTTTAATGGTTTTTGTAAAGCTTTTCGTACAACAATTGTTGTTACTAAAGAAAACAAAATCCAAAAAAATATGAACCTCCAATAGGACATACGCAAACACATAACAAAAGGTATAATCCACAATGCAATAAATGTTACAACCTGAAATATTGTAAGTTTAAATCATGTGAATAAAGTTATCTATCTGAAATAAAACAAAATCATGTTTATTCAGTTGATAAATTTAAAAATTGAAGGACATTATTTCACTATGAAGCTGTATATATAATATGTATAAATAATGAATGTGGCACACATTTTTTAAATATAAATCATCCTGTAGGTATTTGTGGAAATATATTTTTTGAAATACAGAACTTCCTAATGTAATAAAGGTTATATGGTCATTCTATATATTATATATAGTATACATTAAAATTTGTTTCATATCAATGTATTTTTTGTAATTAACATTTTTAGTTAAGTTGTATTATTAGAATAAATGACTAAATAGTAGCTTAAATGATCATAGCTAAGGTTAAAAACGTTTAAACTTTTCACATTCCTTTTACGACAATATGTAACTTATAAATTTGACAATTATTTTATGATTTAGTTGGATTTTTTATACTTCCAAATTGAGTGTCAATCTAAATTTGCTAAATATTTGTTACTTTTTCTTTATAATTGACCGAGTACCCGAGTGTCATACTCCAAATCTAATTGCAGCTTTGTATTAAATTATAAAAAACACATAAGTCTGTTAAATTATTTTTTTCAAATTCAAAAATAAAATTGAAATTTTTCAGAATTTTTGATCTTAACATATATTTTTTCTAATCATTGCAGTTTTACTAGTTATTAGTTTTGCACAAAAACAAAAAAATTATATTTTTGAACTCTTCAAAAAAATTATCTTCCTATAATAGTAGATTCATAATTAAGCTAAAAAAAAGTTACAATGGAAAGTTAAATTTTTTTTTTTTTCTGAAAAACTTCCCTTAAACTTAAATTATTTTAAAGTTCTTAAAAATAATTAAACTTGCGGGATAAGTCTCNTAGTAGATTCATAATTAAGCTAAAAAAAAGTTACAATGGAAAGTTAAATTTTTTTTTTTTCTGAAAAACTTCCCTTAAACTTAAATTATTTTAAAGTTCTTAAAAATAATTAAACTTGCGGGATAAGTCCCAAATTTTGCACAATTTTTTTTACACAAAAAAATTTAGGTTAAAATAATTATTTTTTATAAAATTATACGAAAAATGTTAAAAAAAAAATTTATAATGATATAATCGTTTAATATTCACTTAAATACTAATGAATAAGTATCTCATATACTATATGTTATGGAAAAAAACTGAAAGCAAATTCAGAATTAACATTGGAATTCTATAAAAAATTCACCTAAATATTATAGACAGTTAATTAACTTTTGTTCTAAGTAATCCTTACATAAATTATTATCTTAATATTTATCAAAATGCAATATAAATGAAAATTATATTATGGTTCAGGTTACTTGAAAAGATTTAAAATGTCTTCTTTTCCATTCAATTAATACTATCTGGGCAACAATCATGGTAACCATAAGAATTAAAAGCATTTCAGCATGCATTGATTCATGACCTTTATGTGCTTCATGTAATTTTCGATGTTCTTCTCTAAAAATATTATGCATATAGTATTATAATAAGTAAGTAATTTAATTTTTTTTTGCAAAAAGTCTTCAATTACAAATATTATTAGCCTACATAAAAAGTTTCGCATATATATTTTATTGAAACAAAAAGTATTTATAATAACAATTTAAATTATCATTATATTATTTGAAATTACAAATATATTTCAAATATTAATTTTAAACTAAAAACATAAAAAATAATTTAATTTAAAATATTACAAAAATTACTAAAAAATCATTTATATTTATATCGGGAACAATGTTACAATCATCAGCACTAAAAATATAAATGTGTGTATTTAATATTTTTAAATTAATTTTTAATTTTAAATAATTTAAGCTGTAATTGATCATATCTTATTATAGTCTTATATTAATTTGGCAAATAAATTTTTGTAACTTTTTAAGAGACACATAAAATTTATTTATTAATTGAACAAACTTTTTATTAAAATAAATTATAGTTTAAATCATAGTTAAACAACTGGATTGTATTTAGGATTAAAATAAGCATATAAAGTTATCATCATAGTCATCATCATCTCTTTAACCTTCATTCAAAATATTTGGGATCAATATTACCTTATAATAATATAACAGAATTTTTACACTAGCTGTTGACTTCAAAGAACTTCATTATAGCTCAGATAGCCATTAATGTGGTAAGGCGTGTGACACCCATTCAGGAATCTACAGCAAACATCAATGCTATGGCAGCGGCAAAATGATTCATTATACTACACTGGGTCCCAAGCATATAAAGTAATATTTTTAGCTTCGATTCGAAGCTGAGAAGGTATTGGTTTTACTAAGATGTGTTTTTTTTTTTTTTTGTGTCTGTTACCACTTTTTCTCAGCTCTCACCGAACCGATTTCTTTCAATGATATGTCAAAAGATCACAAATCGTATCTAGTCGAAGACATTACCCTTAAAAATTGAAAAAATTTCCCTCGTTCCCCGTAAATGGGGGAAACCTCCGAAAAAATTACAAATTTAAAAATGGCTAATTTTCGAAATTTTTTCAATTTTTTTTACTAAAAACTGCCGTAAATTTTTTAAAAATAAACATATCAATATAATTCTTTTTTTTGTAGATGCATGATGTCTTTACTTATCATTTGGTATATTTTTTTTATAAATCTGACTTTTTACCTGCCTACAGGGGGGGATTCAAAATGACAACTTTTTCACAAAAAATTGACTTTTTCAACTTAAATTTTGAAAGTGTTCCGGAAAGTCTGACACTTTTATATATATCTTAAATTAAAGCTAATGTAATATACTTTATCATGGAAAAAAAAAATTTCGGACTTTATTTTATCTTCAAGGTGAAAATGGCTACCAAATGCTATTATTGTGTGAAAATTCTCAATTTTATTTTTTACATTTTTAACATTATAATGCTATAACTTATTGAAAAGTGTATTGATCAATATAATTTTTTTATGGGAAATACTATTTTTTAATAATCCCTTTTTCATTCGACATACTTTATCTTAATCAGGATATTAATAAGGAACTAGCAGTTTATGAAGCTTTTGGAATAATCCACCAATTTTTTAAAATTAAACACTATCTAAAGATTTGCATCGAAGCGTTTTTTTTTTTGATAGTGATTTTAATCACTGTCAGATACCATTATACTTGATCCAACTATGCCACGTCACCACTGTGCCACGACCCCCCTGTGCTTGGTTTTTTTTTTACATTTAATAACTACTGACTTAAATTCAATCTAAACAAAAAAATAAAAAGAGATTTTACTTAATTGTAAATTACCTACTTAATAGTTACTAAATTACTTTAATTTAATAAGAAAATAATCCTATAGGAAAAAAATTAAAGCTAATTAAAAATATGCATAACTAACTGTAAATTATATTTTAGCATTAAACAAGTTAGCTCTTAGGTTATTTAAGTTTATAAGGCAAATACAATAAACCATCACCTTTTATTTGACTAATTATTTAACGAAATCATATAAATTTTGGAAAAATTTTAACATTTTATACTATATAAACATATGAGACAATATGATTTTAGAAAAATGTAAAATTGCCACATTATTGGTCTTCTTGACATGAATTCCAGATGGTAAACTTAAAACTAAACAACACAACTTAAAATTTAATAAATCATAAAAGCATATTGCTCTTTACCTCATTATTTCTTCACGAGTCATTTTTTTTGTTATATTTTCAGCTGAATTACTCTGTTAAAAAATAAAATAAAATGTTACTTCTATTTTTTATGTAATTGAATAATTGAATTTTTTTATTTACTTACAAGAATCACAGTTATGTTTTCTTCTTCCATTTTTAAATAATGCGAATTATAATAAAAGAACAATATGTACAATTTATGAACAATTCTGAAATTAGGTCAGGTCCTAAAATTTATGTTATATTATTGAATCGTTAACAACAACCAAAATTATTAAATTTTAATGTACAATGTTTAACAATTAGCATTTCAATAAAAATAATTGGCTTATAAAGTATTTGTAAATTATTTAAATTATATTTTCAACTAAAATTATCCTTTAATTTAAATATGAATTTTTAATTACTTGGACAAAATTGCATTAGTAAAAATTACGTAAAAAATTAAGGTATCACAATTATTTCAATAATAATTTTATTTTATTAGGAGTAGTAAAAGTTCACCAATGAACACCTGACATGAATTCAATTAAATCGATAAGAAAAATGGGTTGTTATCACTTTAATCAACATATTGATTCCCCAGATTTATACTTCAAAGTTAATAACAGCAAAGAAACTAGATTCACTATTTTTTGTTCCACAAATTTTTAGTTCCAATTAAAATTTGTTCAAAACTATTGTTATCCAAAAATATTATTTGTACCAATTAACAATTTAATCATTCGTATCAACAAATATTATATCCAAAGTATAGTTGTTCCAATGAATATTTGTGCCAAATTTATATTTATCTAAATAATTTTGATACATAAAACATTTGTTTCAATAAATATTTTATTCATCTTTGATAATTCCATGTTTTGGATAAATGTTCATTAGCTAAGCTTGGCAAGTTAACTTATTTTTGTAACTTGTTAAGTTAATTTGAGGAAGATTAAATTAAGTTGAAGGCTAACAGAAATTTATGTTTTTAAATTCGTTTAGTTAAAAGTAACTAGACAAAAAAAATAATTAAATTAACTTAGTTAATTTATTTATTTCTAATACTCTTCAATAATATAAATTATTATATTTTCCTAATTCTTCTCCAGAAATTTAAGACAACACTCTGTGATAATTATTATCAGAGAAATATAAAAATTGCCGCAACTAATAAGCTGGTGAACTGTAGACCGTTTCTGACGATAACAGCTCGCTACGCTTGCATTTCCTTTCTCGTTATTTTTAATTTGTAAAATATATTAATACGAAAGTTTCCAATAGGAAAATAGTTAAAACTAATTATTTGACCTTTTCTACATTTACTCCCTCTAGTAAATGTATGATGAATTTACACTTGGTATAAACTGTCAATATAAATGAATAATAAAATAAATAACAATGAACTTAAATCACACAACTCTAGCATCCACAACATTTTACTCAGACCACAGCGTCATTTTTCTATGTTTTTCAAAAATAGTGGTTATTCCACCATTCTATATTTAAACATATTATTTGCTGTGGTTATGCGAGGGGAATATGCGTTTCTTACTTAGTAAGTATAGTTTAGCGCATGATTAAAGATATAAAATACAATAATGTATATCTTGAATCGTCAATTATCGAATTTAAATTAATAAGGAATTTACTAACCACCTGAGAAATGTTGAAATCAGTATTGTATACAGTTAGTGCTGGACAGAATAAAATATACATTTAAGGTAAATAATAGTTTATAGAAAGTCCAAGACATAAAATCAATCATCGTGAAATACAAATTTAACGTTATTTTAATATTACTATATTCAAAGGCGTAAAGCATTTGAGTAAATGTATTTGAATAAAAGTAGTCAAATACTTTCATTGGTATTGAATAGTATTTTTAAATACATTTAATAAAAACTATCCGAGTATTATTTTAAATACAATTATTTAGTATTTAATACTGTTTAATATTCAGTACTATTAATATACTTTTTTTTTTTTTAATTTGCTAACCGTAACACAGCAAGCAAATTAAACTCAGTCAAAATGAAAATTGAGAATAATTCTCTGTTATTTTATATGTTACATTATAGTATAACATAATTATTGTGCTTATCTAAATGCTATTATGTATATATCTATTTTTAATACATCAGTTGAACCTACAATAGCCTATTGCAGGTTCAAATGATTTACTCTATTGTCAATAAGACATACTTTACAGGTTTTTACACGTGTACTAATATTTATTTTTTTCACTGATTAGTCTCCAATAATTAATTTTATTTACCTCTAACAAAAAATATCGAAAATAATAAATGAGTTCTCTTAATTTAAGAGTACT